TTATCTTTGCTACACTGGTAACTGGAGTAGCGGTCGCGTGCTTTCAGCTTCTGTCCAGTTGGTTGTTAGGCACTGTGGAGTCAGTTCTAACTCACAGAATCCTCTCTACACACAACAGAAACAAAGAGTGGCCAGTCCTGTGCCATCTTCCCAGTCACAGGTGTACTGGAGCCAATTTGGCTCAAAGACTTTGTTGAGGATCTTCCTTTTTTGCTGACACCCCTGCCCCTCCTACTCGCATGCATGTCCATCACTGAGCATGTTTCTTTCCATATACATGTGGCTGACTCAAGAAATCGAGGTACACATCTTCGGAGGTGTAGCTTGAAATGGGAATGAAAATCACATACGTTTACAATTCATGTGTTCCTACTTCAGTTTCAGTGAAAGGACAGGAGACTAAAACAGCTTTTAGGAATTATGATTTGCTTTTCAAAGATAATAGCCCCGTCATACACTAAACACCACTTAGACTACCCATTTCAAGGGCACTAAAAGGGTCCTCTGAAGTCTTAGATTTTATTCCATTGAAGCAGAAATGAGTATCCAATGCACAAGCCACGTCGGTAATTGAAAAAAAGCACTACTCTCAAGTAAGATTGATTCTTTCAGATAGTTTAAACCACTCACCAGGATAAAAAAAAAATAGCATTCACAATTAGCATTATTAATAATTAATATTTCAGAGCCCATGAAGTAAGCTTGAATGAGGCTGGTCTTTTGCTTGCTTTCCTTAGCTGGTCTTCAAAGCTTATTTCGTACACTTATCCCACGGTGCAGAAAGAGTGGGCTATTTGTCTTAAAATCTCTTCAGTTAGCCCTCTCAGAGTAATGAGGGGAAGAATGGGGACAATGTCACCGTGGCTGGCTTTCTGACTTTGGAAAGCACTGCATCTATGAAAGATTTGTCTTCCCAATTTTTTTCTTCCCCTTAGGTTAGTAATAAAATTAGTTTTTAATTTCTGAGTATAAGTTGAGGCGGGGTGGGGGGAGCAGTTCAGGGATATTTCAGGGATATTTAAATGCCAAGTAGAAGCTGGTTAGAGACTCAGAAAGTTGATATATTAAAATGTTAATTCTAAAGGCATCATGTCACAATCTACTCTAAGAAAACTTACATATACAATCACATGCAAGAAAATATAAAACCTAACCTATGTGCTTCTAAGACCCATTAAAGGCCACCTTTAAAACCAAAATAAGCTGTGTGATTACTAAAATGACTCTTAAGAAAATATAATCACATAGAGGTATAGCTCCATTTAGTCAAGGACAAGCTCATAATGTGTCTTAACTTGGTCCTCACTGGATAATATATTTCAATATTCATAGGCAGGGGTTCTCACACTTTTTGGCCTTAAGGACTTCTTTATACTCTTAAGGAAATACTGCAGTTGACAACTCCTTTTTTTTTAAAAAAAAAATAAATTTATTTTATTATTTGTGTGTGTGCATGTACCGTCAAATCAGATCTGACTGGTACAGGAGGAGATTGTCCCTCCTTCCCCAGCGGAGCATCTGGTGGATTCGAACCGTGAGCCCCTGGGATTGTAGTGCAGCTTCTTGCCACTAGGCCACCAGAGCTCCCCTGCAGTTGACAATTCCTGAGCTCTTGTTGACATGGATTATAACTATTGCTTTTCACCATATTTCATCATTATTATTGGCTTCTGATTGTATGGCGTTTTCTGAAATTTTTCATTGCCAATCAATTATTTCTGGTTGTAGTCTATCTCCATACCTGTTCAATCTATATGCTGAGCAAATTATCTGAGAAGCTGGACTCTTAGGAAGAGGAATGTGGCATCAATATTGGAGGGAGACTCATTAATAAGTTGCATTATGCAGATAACACAACCTAGTTTGCTGAAAGTGAGGAGGCCTGGAAGCATTTGTTGCAGAAGATCAAGGAATGTAGCCTTAAGTATGGATCGTTTCTCATTATCAAGAAAACAAAGAATCTTACCACTGGACCAATAGGCAATATCATGATGGATGGAGAGGAGATTGAAACTGTCAACAGCTTCATCTTACTTAGATCCACAATTAACACCCTTGGTACCAGCAATCAGGAAATAGATGCATCGCACTGAGACAATCTACATTTAGGAACCTTTCTAACTAAGGTGTATTTGATTCAGGCCATAGTCTATCTGATTACTAGCTATGCATCTGAGACCTGGTCAATGAGTAAGGATGACAGAAAAAAAGAGTTGATGCTTTTGAGCTGTGGTGTTGGAGAACATCCCACAGAGAGCCACGAGAACGAACAGATATGTCTTGGAGAGGGTACAGCCAGAGGGTGCTGCCTCTTTGGAGGCAAGAATGATGAGGCTTTGCCTCACATACTTTGGATATGTTGCTAGGAGGTGCTATTCCTTGGAGAAAGAAGGGCATGATGCTGGGAAGGGTGGAGGGTTGGCGAAGAAGAGGAAGACCCTCAACCAGGTGGGCTAACATGGTGCCTGCTACAACAGGCTCTTGTGTCAGGAAGTGAGAATGGTGCAGGACAGGACTGGGTTCAGATCTTTTATTCATAGGATTGCTATGAGTTGTACTCGACTCAATGGCACCTAACAACAACCACCGCAAGAACATGAGAGTAACAGGAGTCTTGGAGCTCCACAGGGTCTGTACACCACACTAAGACAAGTGCTGTTCTAGGGAGGGCATTTCACAATCACTTTGGGGACACAGAGAATCAAGTTAATCAGGATTAGAGTAGGAAAGTGGTTGTTACTCTGAAATCATCTCGGTTGAGCTAAGGGTCACTCTAATTTGGTGAACTTTGTGGTGCACACGGTTGAGCTAAGGGTCACTCTAATTTGGTGAACTTTGTGGTGCACACGAGTCAAAAGGAACCGTGTGTGAAAATTTCTTGTAAAGTGAAACAAGAGTTTTAAAAGTACTTCTAAGTACAGACGCATGCATCTGCTGTGCCAATTCTCCTTGTACACTGAGCTTTTGTGAAGTGAGAATCAGTCATGTGAATACCTCGTGCATGTGAACTGAGGATTATGAACTTCAAGTATCTGTACTATTAAAAAAAATCACTCTAGTAGTCTTGAACTGCAAACTCCTGATACACTTTCTAAGGCTAGGGTCTAGTGGTATATCAGCATTGTAAAAACACTGAATTTTGCTTGCTAGCAATTTAAATGTCATATTGTTTCATTTGTTAATAAAAACTACAGTTCATGAGAATGTAGGACTGACTTGTCAAAATGTTTTTGGTCTCAATACTGTTTACCATCTTCCAACCCCTAACCCCGAAAATTCAAACCTTTCACTCTCTTTTCTATCTTCATGGACATTGGCTCTTCAGGAAGCAGAGAAAGTGATTAATTAATGCCCCTGTGCATTTTTATAGCCAGGGTGAGAGCCTCCAGGAGTTCTGTCTCCTTTGCTTGTGACAGTCACTACTTGCCTCATCCAACTTTCCAAAGTTACTACAGGGAAAAGTGGATGGATCTAGGAAGGAGGCACCAAGAGACAAGAGGGAAAGATGGCAGGAGAGACTCCACCTCCCAGGAAGCTTATGACAACTCGAGCCATATATGGGCCTAAGCTACGTCTCCACCTCTAGTCAGGGATTCTGAAGCCAGGGAAAGAACACCTCAACCTCAGGGATGGGCAGTGGAATGTCCTACGGGAATAAATATAATTTTCTATCATTTTTTTACATTTAAAGAAGTACAGATCTTGTGTAAAATACACATGAGCTTTTCAAACAGTAGGAGTTGTCACTGCCCAGCATTTATTCTGTGACCCGAGACACGCCTAGTGTCCATTCTCCTCTGCTGCTGGGGTCCTTTGGTAGACGTTTGCCAACAACACCCTCTACAGAGGTTTTACACCTGTCAAGAAATTGGGCGGTCTCATAAATTATGACGGGGTGGTGTGATACATGCCACCCCTAATGGGCTCCTCCGCTGTGGACAATTGGCACTTCAAACCATTTCCCCCACACTTAGATACTTTCAAGTGCAGTTCAAGTGGGTAAACGATCATTTCTATAGCCCTAGTGCTGTAATCTATTGGGCTGCTAACAAAAATGTCGGTCAGCAGTTCAAATCCATCAGTCTCAACACCTAGACGTCCAGCCTTGGAAACAAATGGAGGTGACAGCCAGGGTGAGCTTGGGCTTTGAACCAGTATTACATGAGAAGCCCCCACTTTAAAAAAAAAAATATTTTTTTTGTGTGTGTGTACGGTCAAATCGGATCTGACTGGCATTGGAGGAGATTGTCCCTCCTTCTTCAGCAGAGAATCTGCTGAATTGGAAGCACGAGCATCCAGGATTGCAGTGTTATCAAAGTTGTTAATGTTTTCTTTTTTTAAAAAACAAACCCACCGAAACATGATCTTTTAGCCGTTTGAAAACATCCTGGATACCCACCCTACTGGTCAGAGTACAACTGCCCCAGGTTTCTAAGGCTGTGAACCTTTAAGGAAGCTTCCTCGAGATCGAGAACATCTGATGGATTTGAACTCCTGATCTTTGGGGTTAGCAGTTTAACGCTTTTCCATTGTGCCACCAGAGATCCTTATCCTGGATCCACAACCTGTCTGTTCAGAATGCAAAAGCCAGTTTCCTCTAACAGTAAATCCTGGCTTGTGATAAATCAAGGAGGATTAAAATGTTCTAGCTCTGATTTGGTTCTGACTTCCCGGGGCTCTGTGTCCCGGGAGCACGGGATGGTCCACACCCCAGCCAGGACCCTGGCGGCTCAGTAAACACGGAACCCGTCACTATAACCCTTGTAAACAACTTGGGGGAAAATGGGGGTCTCCTCCTTCTGGGCCCCGGATGACGAAGGCAGAGGAGCCCCGGGATCCCGGGAGTGGCTGGAGGTTGCTGCCGTGCACGGCCGGGGCCTGATCAGAACTGCATTTCCAGCTACTCTGCTCTCAAGCCTTTGCTTTCCTCCGTATTGCCCGTGGATTCACGGTCAGCTCCAACTTCCCTTCCTATGCATCTTCACAGCTTTGTTTAAACAATGAACCGCCCGGGGGTTCCGCTCCGCCGAGGAGGCGGCCCTCCGCCCCTGCCCGCAGCGGGGCTCGGTGGGCGGCCCAGGGCCCACGCGGAAGGACGCGACCGCAGCCGGGCGCCGAGGCCTCCACCAGGGCGCAGACCGCCCAGCGAGCGGAAGTCCAGGCCGCGTCCAGCGAGCCCAACCCGCGGGCCGCAGCCGGCGACA